TCGAGTCATAAGATAAGTCTCGTTAGGCTCTACGGTGATTATCTTGTTTGCATTTCATCAGATTTCTTTACTGGTTTTGTTTTTGTACATTTTTCTTGTCATTTGGTAATGGATATGAAAGATTAATATTTTTAATAATCTCTAACAAACTCTTATATAAGGCATTAATTATTCTAAAGAACATTGATATTTTTTCATTATTTTTCATATTCTGAGTTTTATTGAAAGATTTTAATATCACAAACTTGAAGCTATTATAGAAGATATTTGCATGAAATGTTTTCATCTTCATAACTCTTATCCATGCTTCATGAGCCTCCTCCTCCTGTAGAACGACTTTGTCAATGCATGAATGTATAGGCATTTTATTTATGTTGCATGTGTTTGGTTTTATTCATGACCATATGCACTTATATGTATGTTGTTCATTTTGGGAGGTATGTTTCGCGGTGTGTATATCTACTTTTTTTTTTTTTTTTTTAATGAAATTATATTTAGTTTCTTATACTGTTTGGAAACATGTTAAAAGTTTATATATAAAATTTGCTTTTATAAAAAACAATTTATTTGTATTTACAACGAATTTCAAATAACACGCACCCACATCATTTACTATTTGCTATTGGTGGTTTATTTTTGAATTTATTATAGCGCTTTCGAAATTCGTTAAAAACCGAAGTAAATTGTTTGACTGGTCTTTCGATATGATGCTTGAGGTTTAAGCGTTTTATTATGTATTTATGTTGCTCTTAACAAAATACATTCCGATATACATAAATAAATGTATATATATATTCATGCATAGGTAGATATATATATATATATATATATATGCATAGACAGGCGTGCGTCCCCTGTAAACTCGACTTGCAATGCTGTTGCTCTTGTTACGTCTACTGCTATTGTGAAAATAGTTGTTACTATTTAAAGCCAATTCCCATGCACACACACACACACACACACACGACTATATATGTACAAACCTACACAGGAGTATGCACATAAAGCATTAAATAGTTAGGAACGTACCTATTTACACATACGAACACACATCATTGTTGTAGTTGTAGCCGCCTATGAAATAAAAAAAAAAAAATAAATAAATAAATAAAACAACAAAAAATTATTGCATTAGCATTAGATTGCTTTTAGATTTGCATCCTTATAACCCAATGCGAACACACATTTATGAATGTGTTTGTGAGTTTGCATTTATCTATAATACGTCAATACATTGTAAGCTTGGTTTACAGCAATTTTCAATCGATAGGGTAAACATGTTTACATTACATATCATTACTGTACTTGTGTACTTGTAAGCACGTTATATGCGCATACATACACAAATAAATGATGTCAAAAAAGTGCCAGGATTCGTATATTTACAGAGCAAACGGATGTCGTTCGCGAAAATCGCTATCTTCATTAACTCAAGTATGAGCGTTCGCGGATTCAAATTCCACGTTGCGATAGAATTTACTTTGGTCGTAAATATGATGAGTGAGGACACTGGCCACCCAACAAGCAATGGTCGTTTCCTTTATCTCTTTCGCTTTCCCAACTTTCTGTCGATTGCTGTTGCATTAAAAAACAAAAAAAAAAAAAAAACAAAAAAAAAATTGTTCCAAATTGCCCAGAACTTGATTCGATTCGAATAATTCGTAATATGCTTTTGACAGCGTCGTTGCGCAGGGAATATGTTTTTGCAATTTTTGCTGTTAATTTAGAATTTACCGAATGATTTTATTATTGGCATTTTATTTATTTATGTTGAGTTATTTACATTTCTCTCATTGGGCCGTGGTTAGCGGTGAATAGCTTAAAATATTTTAATTAAATATTTTAAAATATTGGGCATACACACACACACATATATATATGCATATATTATTATTACTATATCATTGTGATATCATAATGGAGTACCATATATGACCTTATATAGAGGCGAATGAATGGTGCAGAGAACAATTTTTTTTAATGTATTAAACATAACTATAACTTTATTTGGTTGTTATTTCAATGTAGCTGCATTTCATGTGTAAACAGATAAATAAATAAATAAATAAATAAATAAATAAATAAATAAATATAAATAACAGAGAAAAATTGAAATCAAATTTTTATGAATATAAACAAAAATAACCTTTTACTCCTCCTACCGTCCTGAAAGCATGCATTACGCAGATAAAATATTCTCATGCCCTGCATAGGCACTTTTCTTGCTAGTCCCTAAGACATACGATCTACATAACAAAATTTGCCTTGCTGTCTTATAGAGTGCGTCTATCTGAATTATGAAAGTATCAACGACTATGTAACGATTAATATAAATCTGTAAATAAGCTTATTTGAGGTGATCGGTATATGTTCCACGCAAGTCGCGATATCGCATTCCACGCGTCGGATGCTTGAATGTCCATTTATTTTTTCTATATATGGCCATTGTTTCAAATATTATTATAATTTTTTTTTTTTTTTTTTTTTTACTATTTATCTATTTAGTAAGAAAGATAATCATGTCCTTTACCTCGAGTAAATATAACGAAAGCGGTTGTTAATAAAATATAGTTTTATAAGGAAAGAAAGAACAAACAGATTTCTAAGCAACATTCTTATGGAGGCTTTCCGCAATTATGTTTGCGAAATTGTTGATTTGTCGGATTCGCTCTTTCATTAGGGGTGAGGTTTTTTAAAAATTGAAAATAGAAATTGTGCCTTATTTGAAACCTTAGACAAAATACCGTTCAATCTATTCCGTATCTATCATGTTTTCGAACACATTGACGCACGTCAATCACTTTTCAACATTAATTAGTTCATATCAGTGCTAGTCTGCCGAATTTTCTAAAATGTGTTTGGGCTTAATGTAATCCGAAACAAAATATGTATGAGTGTTAAGCTAAACCAGACTAAAAACACAATATAACAGAGCAACCAATGATTTTTATATAGAAGTAATCTATAATTTGTTATTAAAGAATGAAGCAGACTATAAGCTACAAAACAAATACTTAGGACCCTATAAAGTTGTAGATCAAAAAAAAAAAAAAATAAATAAATAATAATAATAATAATAATAATAATAATAATATTAAAATTAAAGATAGCAAAGGTAAAACATAACATAGTACATAAGAACAGATTAAAATGATATAAGAATTAAAAGGCAACACAAAGAGCATAGTAATATATTTATATAATAAATGTTTAGACAACCAAAGAAAAAAAAAAGTGAATTACAAGCCAAATAATAATAATGTCCAAGAATGATCACATAATTGCAATCTTGAACTTATAAGATCATAGTATCGTTCCTCATAATCCTAACCACGGTAACTTGCTGTTATTGATGATCTAACATAACCAAAGAGTATCATTGACGTCGGCAGTAGTGCAATACTTTGCCTTTTTTCTAAAGTTATCTAGTTTGGTGACTGAAGAGACCAGTTGAAAACCGCACACATACATATGCTCAAATATGTGTAAATACCGATTTGAAATTTCGAGCCAATGCAGTGCAATGAGTGCAGTGAATGATAGGAAAAACGGCTGCGATGTTTGAACTAAGATAGGCACAATCAATAATAACAGTTAGGACACCTGCTAGGTACATAACCTTCGAGGTTTTTGGGATGTACGGTTAATTTCGGCTTACTTTAAGCATTTACTGGATCGCGATCGTGTATCGTATTGAATGATAAAGAGCTTTAGAAACGTAAGTTACATTAAAAACACTTGAATATGTTTTTCAATTTTCTCAAATTTTTTTGTATCTATTCAAGGACATTCAATTCCTTCTGTTTCTTTAATTTCTCAAAGAACTGTTTTCTGAAAGATATATTCAAGATATTCGTAAAGGCTTTCTAAAGAGCATTCTGAAAGGTCTTAAAAAAAAGCTTTCCAAAAAAAAAGAGTATTTTTTCGAAATGAGTTTTTTTTTATAATAAATTTCCAAAAATCGTTAACATTATACCGTAGGCGTATTATGTATTAGCAAATATTCGACAAAAATTTTTATTAAATATTTAGAAATCATATCTTAAGGCATCAGAATGGGTAAGAATGACTTTTCAAAATTTTTCGTTTAATTTCATTTAATTTTTGGGATAAATAAACAGGTTGACAGGTGACTGAAAACTTTTTAACGTAACTAACTCTTCACTTAAAATCTCTTTATAAAGTTTTTTTTTTTTATCAAAATGAACTATAAATATATATATATATAAAATATATATGAAAAACTGTTTAGAAATTTGAAATTATTTAAAAAAAATGTTTTCAAATCTTAACAATAAGCAAGAGATTGGTTCAAGAAACCTTTTTAAAAAAATGATATTCGAAAAACTTGTTAGAATATTAAATATCACGTGGAAAAAAGAAACATTTGGGCTTGTTTATTGTCTTAGATTTTGGTTGAATGGTGTTAAGTGCAAACGTTTACATGGGTATACTGCTGCACTAGTCCTTTTACCATTACATTGTTTGCCTTCATAGTAAAAAATTGTTGTTGTTTACACTGGACGCATGACTTCACATACAGTGTAAGGCATATGCATCATGCATGTTTGAATATTTGCATATACGGCCATATATAGCCCATATACACCACACATATGAATCAGAGTTGATGTTAAAATCTCTGTATAAATCAATATTAACGTTGACTTTGCTCCCTTTAATAAACATACGACGTATGGTTGTTTTTGTTTATAATCGTTGTTTAAATGAACTCAGTTTGTAGATTGAACGTATCAACGTTCAACGTATCATTTAGCATATAATTTCAAGCAATACTTTCAAAATTATAATTATTTACGCTCGCGCATATACTTATATACTTATTATTATTTTCATTATTAACAATTACCGGAACATACGTATTTTAAAAAAAAAAAAAATCAAAACAATATCTGCATAATGCTTATATATCCGGAAAATTTCAATATTAATTATTAATGCATTGTGTCGCTTTTTGTGCGGTGTTTTTTTCTTTACAGGCCACAGGCAATTACGATGGCAGTGGTATGCCGCCAACTCAGTCACAATATCCTCATGAACGACGTAAGTACCGAATTTTCATTAATTAATTGTTCAAGTGCGAAATTTAAATGATATTAATACGTCAACAATAGTCACAAAAGAGGCCAACAAATATGTGCATATGTGTTATCGAACAAATCATTCACTTGTTAGTATCACGAAAGGAAATACATATATGTATTTGAGTTTGGATGTCTTTATACCGAGTGGTAGTTTTTTTCGACAAAAAAAACCGATTTTTTGTTTGTCTTGTTTTTTGCAGCAAATTATTTGAGAGATACATGAGATCAATATAAATGTATGTATAAATGTAGAAAAAGCATTACTCGACGTTGCTACCTGTTCGTCTAATTGTCTGTAGAAACATTTTTCTTCTTGGAACACTTCAACTCGTGAACATGTACATATGCCCAGCAAAAGGAATGAGTTCTCTTACCAAAAACCCGCATGGCCGCAATGATTTATTTAACGCTCTTTCAACGTTTGCTCTGAGAATTAGGATTTTGTAAGACGATATGGCACTTGGTTGTGATACGAACATTTTAAAAATTCCGCTAATTCCGCTTAAATTCGTAGACAGAGCTTTTGCCGCAAGACAACGCTTAATACCTTCACATGAGGTCTTCGATGCTAACTTGGACGCAAACAGTACTTTTCAAGGTGGTGCAGTCTTCAAAGTCACTATATTAGTAATGGAGTTACTCGGTCATGGAAACGACTTTGCTTGTATGCGCAACATGTTGCACCCCCCCCCGGGCTGTACATGAAGATCTAGATGGGGATAGGGACATCTTATTTTTCGTTTTTGAAGGCTTGGGCTGGTCCAAGTCAATGGGTGGGGACATTGGGAATTTTTTATCTGGTTATTAATAGTAGTCGTAACAACTTCAGGATTATCAGCTGGAGGGCTTATAACCGTAAAATTGTTAGTTAAAGGGAAAGCTGGATTAAAGGATTAGGTAACGTGAGATCAGCAAGCTCCCCAGTGGGGGGTAAGTTAAGTGAAAGAGCAGCTAGGGCAGGGGCTTGGGGAGGGGCATTTATGGGAGGTTGAAGAGGGGATAGACCAGAGCCCAAATTAAATGTTGGTCCCTGACCTTTCTCAAACGCTCAAACTAAGCATTCCAACTAACAGCATTCTTCAAATATTGCATTCCATTTATCAAACTTACCCAATAAGGACTACAGGTCGTTGCCTATCTCAGACAGATCCAAAAGAAAGTGATCAATCGCAAACACGAAGCTCAACGAAAGATGCAAACAAAATTGTTTACCGTCTACTATCGACGCTGTCAAGCAAGGGCTAATATCATGTAATTCGGCATGGAATCGTCTGACGGTCTATTCTACGGGAAACTAAGAAAATAATTTTCTTTGTTCCGCAGCTACGTAACTTCTTAATCTCGTTAGTATTTCCTTAGTTATTGCAATTCTCTTTCACGTGACATACTATGTAAATTTAAATATAATCATGTGCCTATAAACTGGCGCGCATTTCCCAAAGAAGACCGCTTTCACCTACATTCCAAAACTGCAATCATACGAGCAAACGAATTTACCTGCCGTGTTTAGTTATTGACAAGATGAATCGCACACACACAGTTGCATATATAAAAGCACATATGATTTGTGAATTATAACTTTTTTTGTTGCAATCCGCAAATCTGAAGTCAGGCTGATTACATTGCTTCGCATTAATCAAAAAATGAGTTAACTTTAGAGGCATTCGTCGCCTGTTTTTTCCCCTTCTCTCTTCTTTACGTGACCCTTCTCGGCGAATTTTTGCAACGTACGGCGTTGACATATATGCGAGCAACAGACGAAGAGAGAATTATATTTTGATGCAAACGTCCGCCAATAATGAAAACAACAGCAACAGCAACAGCAGCAACATGAATATGCTCTGCTTATATAGCTTTGATTATATTTACGGTCAGCAATAGAGCTGAACAAGAGATATAAAGCAAACAAACAAAACAAAAAAAGAATTATACGCACCTAAAACGAATCTTGAGTACCGGATCGTTTAGTTTATTTTTCTCGATATAGATTATGTGGGCCCACTCATTACTTATATCATGTTCGATATAAAAAATTTTTGTAAGGTCTCGTAAATTTTCCTCTGATTTTAAGAATACTCGCAATAGATCGATGGGTTAGAGAGAGCGAGACAAAATTCATCCTAAGTTTTGTTTACCATTTGCCTAATTATTCACAAAAAAAAAAAAAAAAAAAAAATCTGTAGAATCGGCGATTATGGGTTAACAAATACCATAGCCAGACAAAATTTTAACATCTTTCTCACATAATTAGGATGATGGTCTTTCTACAGCTGGTTAAATGTTCCGTTCTCGCTCGCATACCCATCTCGGTACCCGGTACGCTATATATATATTATATAATAGTGAACGCAATTGTTGTTGTGTGCTTGGCCGAACGTGCGCACATATTATATTTTTGCAATTGTCCTACTTGATAATATGCCCTTTAATGGCGTACACATATAAGTTTTTGCCGGTATATGTTTATCTACCCAACCACGCACATACAATGTTTACAAATGCAAATCACTACAATAACATGTTATAAATGTTGTTCAACGCAGATAAAAAAATAATGCATACATGTATATATATATATATATTGAAAAATTGGTTTAAATAATGTGGCAGCCATGGCAGATATAACCTTGTTATCCTTTTTTTAAAATTTTTTTCTTTTTTTTTTTTTTCATTGCACACATCTTACGTGCACATTATCATAATAATGTAAAACATGGTGGCATATTGGATTGGGGAAAAAAAAAAGAAAAAAAAAGAAAAAAAAAAGAAAAGGAAAAAAAATATTTAAAAACTCGTAATGATAACATTCAGTACTTATCGTTGAAGCTACTGTGCACTGGCAAATTTTTCCAGTATCAATCGCATAAAATTAATTTAAAATATTTATAATAATTTCATTAAATTCGTATCTTTGCAGCCTTTCGTACGTTAAAAGGTGAGAAAGGCGAACGGGGCGCTAAAGGTCCGCCCGGCGATAGTATACGTGGTCCACCAGGACCACCAGGACCTAAAGGTGAACCCGGCACTTCGGCACCTTTTTTCGACTTCAATTCCAATCCCGAAGCGGTGAGTATCTTTAAAATATCTGCAATTTTTCATAACACAAAAGCATATCTGGTTGACACATAAACCTTTCGGACAAATAACACACATATATGTATATCGACATGTATTGTCCTCTCCGATAAACAAAATCAAACTCATATTTAAACATAAATATTTGAAATAAAGAAATACGCGTTAAGCGGTCGCTTAACTCGCTCCTATGGCCCAGTACTGGTCATGTCCATAATTATGTAAATTAACTTTTTTCCACAATTTTGCTTGCAATTTATATTTTCACATACACCGTTGTCGATAACAGTTGACCCTTTTTATCGTTCACTTCTTAGTATATGCTAACACGTATCATATGCTTTAGAATGCACATATATTACAAGTAAAAAGTATCGGGAATTGGTAAAGAAAAATGAAAAGAGAGAAAAATTTTGTATTTTTGCTTAGAAGGCAGATTGATGTCTTCTAACTGGAAATCCAATCATACGAGCGCTTTATCCAGTCACATTTTAAAAACTCATTGATCTTCAATTTATTTACGAAGTTTCCTTCTATGCCCCCCATGAAGTCCAATTCAATAAAAAATTCTTTTTTTGAAGTGATCCCAAAGAAAGTCAATCGAAGCTATATCGAGTGAATGTGACACGGTAGCCATTGCCTGCACACTGATAAACAAATTGAGTTTTTTAGCAACCGTTCACGTTCACCCATTAAGCCAACTCTCTACTGTTCGTCAAGCGATTTTCAAGTAGCATATTCTTGATATTGTCGATCTGTCTATCGATCGTAGCAGTCGAAAAACAGTCGAACAACAAAGGAACTGAATTATACGGGTAAATAAAGAGAAGCCGAGCAAAGTATTCTGATCACTTTCCCTAGTGCCGTCAACTAAGTGCCGAAAAGGTAGGTTCGGCGTAGAAATAGACTAAATTGATACCGTACACAGAAGATTTGGCTCAAGTCGCTTATGTAATGAACACTTCGCGTCATTGAAAAATCTGTCTAACGACAGTTAGCGCAAGATGTCGTAGATTCGCCCGACACGTTCACTTAACGGGCTAATATTTCAAAGCAGTTCTACAGATGTTTCAATTCGCGCGAAGAGCACTAAAAATCTAAGTGCAGCATTGCGTTGCAACAGACTTCTAGATCCGTAAAAAGAACTTAATCGGAAATGATGATACATGCCCATATGCCAACATGTCTCAATGTCAGTAAGTCGTTGAGTAACACCAGAATCCCTCTGATAATACGGTTAAATTAAACCAGTCCAGATTGGCCGATATTTCACTTAGATATCTTTGCAAAATGTTTGGTGGTGCGCAACACAAAATTCGATTTGAAAAACAAACCTCGTATAAAAGTTTAAAATGCCTCAATTACCCGGATTGACCGAATGCGCTCTAACCAAAAAGATAACTCTAACCTACGTTTGTACGGTGTTAACTTCCGCATTGAAAATAGGCATTTTTTTCAACTTACTTACCCTTACTTACCCTTAATAGATAAATGTACAGTTGTCGCTTATTGTATTTGTTTCGAGTGTCAAATGTGCAGTCTGTTCCTCATCTTATGTTGATCATTAAGCGCTAAACACGTATCGACACTTGCTGCCCAAATCCAGTACACCAATCATTACGTATTCATCTTTTAAATGTATGTACGTTTGATACGAAAATCACATATTTGGTAAAATAAGTTTGGACTAAAATTAGCTATTTTTGTAGGAAACGAAGTACCCGAAATGCTCGAAAAGTAATCAAAGCAAATAAAACTGTTCGGTGCTCCATCTGATTGCTGCCGCAAAGTACAGGTGCACTAGTTGCTTTTACTTTACTGGCGACTGACGAAAAGATTTAACAGTAATTTTCGGGTGATCGACCAGATAAAAGAAATAATACAAATATGAGAATAAAGTCTACTGTGGTTTATTTGTGGTTTCTTCTCAAGACGTTTATATGCATAGACGAGTTGGCTCGTAATACTTGAAGCAAGAAGTCGACGAGGCATTTAAGAGAAAATATAAAATAAATTGCTGGAAAAGCCTTATACTCGAGAGTATATGCTAGTTCCGCATGGAATTCTGAATCTACTTGACTACTATCAGCATCAATTTCTGAATCGATTTAAGATTGTCCGTCTGTCCCTCTGTGCGATGTCTGTTTTAATCATTCTCCTGTTCGCCGAAATGAAACTGTCGACGAAGCATTGGGAGCCCTTGCACGCAGGTTACCATTGCAAATGGGCCAAATTGGTCGAGCGACACGTCCCCAGTACTCCATAAACTAAGAACACACATCTGTTTTTCAAAAGGAATAAAATATTGATGTTTTGCTCATTGATCGTAAGCTATGGCGGGTAAATGTAGCACTTGTAGAAAATGGAAAATGGAAAAAATTGACTACGGCTACCCATCATTATTGTGCATCAAAATTTAATTATTTCAAAACCTGTCAATCGGTTCGTCGGCGCAACGTTCGCACGCTAGCCACAATGAAGATATTATCATAAATTTTTGCATTTTTCTTTTGTTCTTATGTTATGAACTGAAAATTATTTGCATTGTCTCGATAGCGGAGCCGAGGAATATGAAGATAAATTTTAAACGGCTCCGCTCCGGAACCTAACCCGTACCATCCTCGCCACATAGCGAGCTAATTTTTGCTTCTATTTTTCCATTCTTACTATTTGCTTTATGAGTTGGGCAGAAAATGCAATTAAAATTAGATTTGTAACAAAGTATACGCTCAACAAATAGAAAATCAAAAAGTGTTTATATGCATTGCATTTCAGTTTCAAAAAGATCTTCACTATATTCGGTATATTTTGTGAAAATTTCAGTTTCAGTGGGGACGACGAGCATATAAACGCCAGCTAAGACCAGTTGTAAACCCAACTTCATCTGCTTAGAGCGACTTTGGACGAACAAAAATCTTGCACTTAGCAAACGTATATATATTCTCCACGCCATCTCTCTGCGTTCGTTATTCGAATAGTGTATACCCAAAATAACAAAGTTCAAATTGCGTATCCTCCTGCGAGTGGTTTGAAAATTATATTACTATGTGCGTAAATATGTTAACGTATTTATGTTAACATGCGAATATACTTATATTTGTATATGTATGCGTACATGTAAAATTTACAATGTTTTCAACTTATTAGATTTGCAATTTGTAATGGATATTATTTGTATGAAGGCGTGTTAAAAAATTGTAAATAATAAATTATGATTTTATTGTTTAATTACAATGTTTGCCTTTATGGACAGCGCTGCCCTCTTTCTCTATCTTTCCCATGAAGTGAAATATATATCTATATAAAACAGCAAATAATCACATAAATCTCACTTAAATCTATATTAATATTTACAAAATTATATTGAAATTTAAAGCCGCAGAGGATTTTTGTAATGTACACACAACATACAAAGATTAGAAAAACGCTTCGATTGGATTAATTGCATACAGCAAGTAAACTTTGCCTCATCACATCTTAAGCTATGTTGCTTATAAAGCTCTGATCAGCGATAAGGTCGCAGACGGATTGCACAACCCTGGCACAAATACTCCCAAAACAGCGATGAAATCGATTCGGTCAGAAAATTATTTTTCTTTTATTCTAACTTCTATATTTGTTTGCTGCATCTAGAATGAACATTCAGCTAAACTATGCAAACGATACGATAAACAACGTTACGAACATCATTACTCAGCTCGAGCTCATTCACAACTCGACGAATGAAGCACATCATTCGGAGTGCCCCTCGTAAACATGAATCAGAAGGTTGGTGAAACGTAGCTCGCTAATGGGATTTAAATTTTAATTCAAGTACAACGTCAGCAATAAACGGGCATTAAGAAGAATAGCCGTAATGGAATCAATAGGATCCGATAACGAAATTAGGTTGTAAATCTCGTTTAAATCATAACAGAGGACCTCAAGTGGGTTAAAAAGTTCATAATTTAAATCAGCATTGATTAAGTTTTACAAACAGCAGATTGCTTGCCGGGCGAACAGAAAAATTAAAATCAATCTCTGATCTGATTTAATAAAATTGGCGAATCGATGACGTCATTGAACAATTTCACCATGCCTTCCACAGCAATCTAGTTTCATTAGAAGGCAAAGAGACACGTCGATCCCAGGCTAAATTTCTTACGGGAAAAAGCAGAATATGCTTCTGCGAAAATTCTTTGTATTTCGCATGGCAACGATACGAAGGTGACCGACCATACTATCAAAGCGTATTCCAATGCAGGTCACACTAATTTATCATAAAGTCATCTCTTCACATATGAGTCGTCAAATTCCCTCGATCAGTGTTTAATAAAGCGCCAGAATTGATCCAAATTTATTGACTGAATGTTCAACGTCCCAATTGAATCGAAATGCATGCCCAAGCAAGACACGTGGGTCCAGAAATGGTTCAAATCCTTCAACCAAAGTGAGTCAGTCAATCATATATTTAGTTGCGAGCAACTTTCGCATCGAAGCAGTTGACAGTCGATAGTTAATTGTACCGCATGAAATCGAAAAAATACCAAGTAATTAAATTATTTTAGTCTGCTTGGAAGAGACATGGGTGAATTCCGGCATTAAGGAGCAAGAAAAGTTTGACGTCATCTGCTTACATCAGCATGTATAGGATGAATAGAATAGATTCCAAGTGACTCCCTTGAGCAAAGTGATGGCAATCTCGTCTGATTGAGAAGAATTGAGAAGCATTTTAAAGGATTTATTTCATCAGGTGGACAGAAGGTGGACAACCAATCAACTATATATAGCAGAAAACCTAAACGACATAATGTTCATAAAAATAATTTGCGCCTCACTATATTAAAGGCGTTGCTTAAATCAGTATATATGGCATTGAACTGTGCGCTTTCGCAACTTAAATGTTAATACAAATAAAAGACTACTTACTGGTCTTAAAAAGTACAGCTACTGATGCATAGGAAGCCCGGAGTGACTGCTAATTATCTCGTCTGTTTTAATTCCCTTTAGAA